CCCCCCCCCCCCCCCCCGCCGATACCAGCGGGCGGAATCGACGCCTTTGGCTCTTTCCGGCCGAACAAGCCGCCGAGTGTCGCCCGCCGCGTCTTACGCTTCGGAGTCTGAGCAGGCGACGGCGCACTCAGTCCTCGTTCCCGCTCGCCCTCCTTCGCCTTTCCCTTCCCCTTGCCATGCGTGATGCTCCGCCCGCTCGACGACTCATGCGAGTCTCGCGTTCGCTCATCCGCTGATCTCCGCCTGCTCTGCTCGACCGAACTTCGAGGCGAACTAGCCGCATCGCGAGAAGCGGACGAGCTAGGCGCGGGCGCAAAGAGCCAATGTGGCTGTGAGGGAATCGGTTCGGGGAGGACCATCGTACTTCCAGTCGCGCTGGACGAGTGCGATCGGCCGAGCTGGGGGGAGGGGAGGTATGCGGATGAAGTCGAAGGGTAGTTGTGGTAGTAGGGGCTGTGCGGAGTGAGGGGCGTCGAAGTTCCGGAAAGAGGAGCGGGCGAGTCGACAGGCGAGGCGGTGTCGACCGAGAGGGAGGAAGTCGATAATCGGGGGAGAGGCAATACGGGCGAACTGAGTGGAAGAGGTGGATGCTGGTCTGCCAAGGTCGGGGCGGCGAACGTTCCGCCGTTCGACGAACCGAGGACGGGACTCGTTCCGAAGCTCCTCGCACGTCTCAAGAAGGCCCTCGCACCGCTGGTTCCGCCCTTCTTCGGAGTCGGCTTGGCGTGGTCGGGTACCGGTGACGAGGCTTCTGCGGGCGTTGAGCGCGAGGGAGAGTCGCGAAGGAGGTCGAGGACAGGGCGAAAGGTCAGTACACCGTCGGCCGCTGCAGCAGGACTAGCATAGCGCCTCTCGGGGTATTGAAAGAGAGCAAGAGACGCACCAAGCGCTCGCGCCGGATTGTCCACGGCGTTCGAACTCGCCCCACCGCCCAAGCCGAATCTGCGCCGTCCCAGCGAAGCACCCTCGCTCTCGCTGCTATTGCCGCCTCCGAAACCCAAGCCAATGAAGCTCTTCTTCCGTTCCCGCCCACGGCTCTGCTGCTGCGACGAACGCTGCGGCATCTCAGGCTCGACGAAACCGAGCGACGTTGTCCTCCCTCGCTGCCCCTCCTGCCGCTCAGACGCGCCCACCAGTCGCTCCAACTCGTCTCCGTGCATGCCGAACGGGCTCGCTGGCAGACCGGGCGAGGCGAGCCCAAGTCCGGCCTGAGCGAGGTGATGCACCGGCGACACAACAGGTGACGGAGACGGCGAGCGGGACCGCGCCCTGCGCTTTTCGAGTGTCGAGAGTGATCCAGGCTGCACAGCAGGCTGGAACAGGGCGAGGGGAGGGTGGGTTGAGGTGTTCGAAGCGGGGTGGGGAACGGATGGCGACGAGGGTGAGAGCTGGAGCGTGGGTTGTCGGGGCGGAGAGTGTGCCATCCTGTGCAGTCCACGCGAGCTCTCAAGCCATGTCACGAGCACCGGCGAGCGCAGCGAAGTTGCGAAGAAGGCGAGACGGACGACCGCGCTGCGAACGGCGCGGGAGAGGGAATTGCCTGTCTTCTCTCGTTTGCAGGCGAAAGCACGGCGATAGATCGAGCAGACTCGTCGTTGTGTTGCAGCGCTGACGCTACTTGCGCTGGTTCGCCGGCGGCTCCGTCCCGAACGGTCCTCGTCCCGCATCCAAACTCGCGAGGCTCGCCTTGCGCACCTCCTCCAAGTACGCCTTGAGACCGAGCGGCGCAGTGTCAATCTCGGCGGGGGAGGCGGCGACGAACTCGAGGTAGAGCTGGTACCGCTCGTCGGCGACGAGGTTGGCGAGCGAGAGGCACAGCGGGAGGTTTCTGCGGAGTGCGTGTCTTGTCAGCATCTCCTCTCGGGCTTCAATTTGACAGGTTGTACACTTACGCAGGAATGAGTTCGCTCGTCTCGTACAAGACGCGGTGCAGCCGGAAGACAAGGTCGGGCACGACAAGCCTTCGGATCCTCGCGAGTTCAGCATGGCGGCGAGAGGCTGTGCGGTGGAGGGTCAGCACACGCGGCCACAAATCTTGCAGCACAGAGAAGCTCCTTGTGGAACCACCACAGGACAAGTGTAGGGGCCAGCGAACACACCTGCAGCATCGATCGTCGCGTCCAGCCCATCCAGCTTGAGCCACTCGCCCTCGAGCAGCTGCACCGCACTTTGGTAGAACTCGTCGACGAGTGCGGCGATCCCCTCGCGGTACTGCGCGACGTCCAGCTTGGAAGCGCTGCAAGGCCGAGCGAAAGAGTCAGAAACTTCCTCCGCTGCCAGAGCTCTCCAGCTGGCGCAAGAGAGGTTCACAAGAGCCCAAGGAGAGAGGCTTACCCGGGACCAGGCCTCCTAGCCCAAACCTCGCTCCACCTCGCATGCTTGTCCAAGCAGTCGTACAGCGCGCGGTAGTCGAGGTGCTCGCGGATGTCGAGCTGGACTGCAAGCGAGGGCTCGCCGCCTTCGCTGTCTGTGCCGGTTGTCGTCGAGGCGGATGCGAGAGAGGGGAGCAAGTCGTCGGGGAGAGAGCGCAGGAGCTGGCGCGCGGCGGAAGATGCGTCCGTGGCTGTGAAGGGCAGGAACGGGTTGCAATCGTCAGTTGCGCACATCATGGGTCTGAAGGGCGATGGCTGATCTATTACGAACTTACAGAGGAACCACCTCGCAAGCGCATTCGCCTCCTTGATCGCATCCTCATACGTCTCCTTCTCCGCCGTAAGCCATTCCAAGCTCCGGATCAGCTCGAGTTGCCGCGCATCAACTCGCGCATAGGCGTCCAGACCGGTCGCAGGAAGGGCGAAGGAAGGCGGGAGAGTCGCAAGTGTGGAAGAGAGGATGAGCTCGACAGTCCGGCGGGCGATGAGCGGGAGGGATAGGCCGTGTTCGCGCGACTTGCGGAGAGCGAGGTGGCGAGCGTGGATATCCGAGTCGAGGCCGAACGCTGCAAGTAGCCAAGTGAGTCAGCTTAGCGTGCGCGACAAGGCAGGCAGAGCGAGACGCACTGAGCAAGAATCTCGCGTAGCTCTCGACAGCGCTCTGCTGCTCGAGGTTGCTCGCGTAGAACGCGATGAGGTTCTCGTCCTGGTCGTGCGCCTCGAGGACGTGAACGTAGGCTTCGAGGATCCGGTTCGCGGCATATTCGGGCAGAGGTTGCTTGAGGAGACGAAGGACGAGGATGAGGTGCGAGAAGAAGCGGAGAAGGTGGGCGAGGGTTCTGCGAGAGAGTGACGAAGTTAGCGGAGACCTGGACGAGAGGCCGCCTCGAAGACTCACTCGGGTTCCGTATCCGTCGCTGCCGCTTCGATCCGCTCGACAAACGCGTTCAACAACTCGTCGATCTTGCCAATGACGAGGTAAGCCTGCGAGACGTGGAACGGGTCCTTCGCCGACGCCGCCAAGTCCGCCTTGTCGCTCCGCAGAAGCTTCTCAAACACGTGCTCGAGCTCCTGCCGGATCGCCTTGCCCTGCGCTGCCGAGCCGAATAGCGGGTCTTCAGGGTCGAGAGGCGTCTTCGAGTCGAGCGGGGCGACGGATGAGGACTGCCAGTAGCGGCCCGCAGGAGAGGAGGCGAGGCCGGCTTCGACGTGCGACTCGAAGAGCGCGTTGAGGTGCGCCCAGACGACGTCTTCCCACGAGGAACAGACCGGAAGAACCGAGGTGACGTCGCCGGACAAAGCGCCGTACAGGGCGCGCTCGTAAGGGTCAACCGTGTTCTGCGAGCGGCCGCACGACTGAGTCAGCATGGTAGCGGGATGCAGAGCAAGGGAAGGCAGCGCACCTGAGCCGCAAGCTTCCGGCACATCGACTTCCACAGTTTCCTGTTTGCGTTCCCCTTAATCCGCTTCTCCTCCTTCTCGACCATCTCAATCTCGTCGTAACCTTCCTCGTTCGGCGCGAGTGCCGGGTCCCACCACAGCTTGCCCCCCGAGAGAGACGCGGCGCGCCAGGACTGGTCGGACTGGCGGCACATGTCGATGGCGAGATCGAGTTCGCCTGCGCGGACGTATTCGTACAGGCTTCGCAACAAGGCTCGCTCGTAGGCCTGCGAGCGGTCGTCAAATTCAGTAAGCTTTCCGGGAACTCGGTGACTAGACGCAGAACGCACTGCATCGTCCGCCTCCAGCCTCGCTCCCTCGTCCTCCATCTTGGCCCTCAGCAACGCGTCCGGGTCCAGTCGCTCAACCAGTCCCTTCGGCGCCTTCGCCCCAGTCCGTCGAACCTGCTTCAGCTTGTTCTTCGTGTAGGGTTGGTATCCTCGCCGGATCTCGGCGGGGTTGAGCGAGGAAGGGATCGAGTGAAGCCAGTCGCGGATGACCTGCACGACGTAAGTCGTCAGCTCTAGTTCGATGTTTGCTGAGTATCAGCGAGACGGCGAACGCACCGACAGCTCGACAAGGTCCTTGTTGCCCTCGATCAACTTCTGCGCAACAGTCAAGGGCGGCGTGTACGGGTTCTTTGATGATGATGGCTCTGCAGGGTCCTCATTCAGGCGTTCGCTGGCGATGGAAACAGGTCAGCAAGCCTGTTAAGGAGGATTGGGAGGAGACGCACGCGTAGAGAGCCTGCACGAGAGCCCAGGTGTTCCGCTCGAGCGTCCATGCCTCCACAGCGTCTCCGTCAACGTCTTCTGCCAGATTCTGCAACCTGTACGATTCGCCAAGAGGACTGTCAGCTCGATGAACGCGCGAGAGCGATGAGGATGGAGCGGGGCGAGGGGAGCTCGAAGGGCGGCGTGCGGGTGCTTTGCATAACTGTTAAGGTAGGGATCAAGCTCACTGTGCCTCACACAGCGCTCCCCAGCGCGCGAGCAGCCCGTCCGCCTCGTCGAGCAAGTCGGCCCCTCCCTCCTGCACCCGCTGGAGCTCCTGCGCAAAGTCGGCGTAGATCTCCGCCATTGTCGTGACGTACTGCTACCTTGAGCAGCCTGTGCGAGCAGTCAACCGGTCTCGAAAGCGTGTGAAGCGAGACGGTGTCGTCGAACCTCCTCCTCTCGCTCGACCTCACCCAGACACTTCGGCTCGCTTGCTCGGTCGGATCGGGTCGAACAAGTAGCTGGAGAGCCTCAAACACGATGCTTCCGCCAGTTCCCATGCCTTCGTTGCGCATTCACTGATCTCTCACCTCCTCGCGACCCACACGAACATGGGCCGCCCGTTCTCGGGGCCACGCTGATGCGCCGCCAAGCATGCAGAATGTTGCCAAGCAACCGCAGAGGGTGCCGCTCCGCTCGCGCTCAAGGTGCTCCCGGACGCCTTCTCCCGAGGCAGCGATTCTGCGAGTTGCGGCGCGACGAGGCGAGGCGGAGCGCGGAGTCCGCGTTCCATGGTCTGGCGAGGCATTGCAGTGCTCGTCCACTCAGCGATGCCCGCTGGGACGCGCAAGTGACCTCGGGCAGCGCTGGCTCGGATCGCAGATCGCTTCCTCGCACGGCGAGTCGAAGTCGCCGTTGTGAACTTCTTCCATTCCTTCCCCGCTTCCGTCTCTTGGCCGGTCCCGCTTCACTTGCTGGCGTCAACGACCACTGCTGAAAACTCCCTGTCACCCACCGCCGACGCCTGATCACCCCACCGGTCCCAGTCCTTCCCCGTCTCCAGCCTCGACTTGTCTCCGTCGAACGCTTCTCTCGCCAGCGATGTCCGACGTTATCTCGTCAGTCTCGCACTTCGAGCTCTCGACGGCTCAGACTGTCGGCCTCGTCGTCGCCGTCTACGTCGCCTACCTCGCCTGGAGCTACCGCGACAAGCGCGCTATCGGAACTCGTCCTCGTCCCGACCTGTTCACTGTTCCCGGCCAGCAATGGCTCTTCCTTGGCGACTTGCCTACGATGGTCAAGAACCAGGACAGGCAGCTTGACCGTGAGTCCAGACGCTCGAACGACTGTAGAGGGACAGGGACAGGACGAGATTGACCTTGTCAACGGCTGGCTGCACAGGCTTCATCGAGATCCGCGAGAAGTACAAGGACACGCTGCAGAAGGATCCGTCTCGCGCCGTCTCTATCACACTTCCCTGGCGTCGCATGATCGAGGCTTCCAAGCCTGAGGTCCGTCGACTTTGCTTGCCGGATTCGCTCTTCCGCCTGGCCGCTTTCTTGACGACTTCTTCACTTCGCAGTACCTCGAGTACATCCAGCGCACCAACTTTAACAACTTTGTCAAGGGGGACCAGTTCTACAAGAACCTCTCCGGCCTGCTGGGCGATGGCATCTTCTGCGTAAGTCGCTGTTCACGCCGACGTCCTCCCTCCTTTGCGCGTCTAACCTCTTTGATTGCATAGGTCGACGGACACTCGTGGCAGCTCCAGCGCAAAACGACTGCCAAGATTTTCACGGCCAACAACTTCAAGGGTGTCATCACGCAGTCGCTCGAAAACCAGATGGCCAAGCTCATCGCCATCATCGGCCGTCACGCCGACCGCGGCGAGGGTGCGCACCTCTACTCTCCGCCTCGCTGGACCCGCATTGACCGCGATTATGCCGGCTCGCAGAATTTGACCTCCAGGATCTCTTCTTCCGCTTCACGCTCAACTCGTTCGCCGAGATGGCTTTCGGCAAGGACATCGGCGCGCTCAACACCGAGTCTGACGAGCCCGTTCCATTCGCCAAGGCCTTCGACTACGGCCAAGTCGTCATGAACCGTCGCTTCATGAAGTACGTTCTTTCGCTCCTTCGCTGATAGCGCAAGGTCTGACGCCGGACCTTCGCAGCCCGTTCTGGCCCGTCACCGAGTTCCTCGACGGCACGCACTGGAAGATGGCCGCTGCGACGAAGGTCATGGACTCGTTCGCGTACGGCGTCATCGAGGAGCGCGAGCGCGAAGGCCGCGGCAACTTCACCGGCGCCCAGAAAAAGGAGGCTGCTGAGAAGGACGTGAGTTTCGCTTTTCTTTGGGAGAAAGCGTGTAGACGGAGCTGACCTTCTTCGCGCGGACAGTTGCTCTCGCTGTACATGGCTTTGCGCGACGACAACGGCGCTCCTTTGACGAGGAAGATGCTTCGGTACGTCGCGCTGACCCGCGCTCGAGCGAGATACCAACTGATTGGTATCGACTTCGCAGCGACGCCATCCTCAACCTCATCATCGCCGGCCGCGACACCACCGCCCAAGCTCTCTCCTGGACATTCTTCCACCTCCTCTCGAACCCGAAGCACATCGAGGCTATCCGCAAGGAGACCGACAACCTGGGCGAGGTTGGATACGACACTTTCAAGCAGATGACCACGACTACCGCCGTCTTCCAGGAGGGCTTGAGGCTGCACCCGAGTGTGCCGAAGAACGCTTGGGAGGCGCTCGGACCTGATGTCCTGCCGAATGGAGGACCGAGAATCGAGAAGGGCGACATGTGCGTTGCGCGCCTTCCTTCTGCGACGGGTCTGTCCTGATGTTGTTTCGCGCTTTCCACAGTGTCTTCTGGTCCGACTGGACGATGAACCGCGACCCGAAGGTCTGGGGACCGGACGCTGCCGAGTTCAAGCCGGAGCGCTGGCTCGACTCGGAGGGCAACCTCGTCAAGGAGTCGCAGTGGAAGTACCACGCCTTCAACGGAGGGTACCGTCTCTGCCTTGGTACGCTCGAGTTTCTTCCTTCAGCTCAGAAGTCATTGCTGACCTGTTGGAGTCGCCAGGCCAAAACCTCGCCCTGTACGAGGGTACCTCGGTCCTCAACGCTGTCACTCGCGAATTCGACCTCTCCTTCGCGCCGGGATACCTCGAGAACGTCAAGATGTGCGACTTCGAGCAGACGCCGCTATACAAGGGCGCCTTGACGCTCTCACTTGCGGAACCTCTTCGGGTCAAGGCGACGAGGCGCAAGCGTACATGATCCTCACGACCACTCTATGCTTCACGAGCCAAGCTGTACAAAGGGATACCAGGCAGTGTCATGCATATAGGTACATTCTACGTCGAGCCGTGTGCGTCTAGATGCTGGGGCGCAAGAGCGTCGCCGCTTCGTGATCCTCCTCGCCCATCGCGTCGAGTCGTCCGACGAGCGTATGTACCCAACGCGAGACGAGCTCGTTGCCGGTCAAGCCGAGCGGGCCAGCAGGAAGGTTCCTGCTCGCTTCGACTGCGTCGGCCAGCTTGGTTACTTGCTGTCGCGCGTGCGCCTTGACATCATCCGAGGAAGCGGGCGAGAAGGACGGCAAGAGGAGTGACGTCGTAAGAGCGAAGTCGCGGAAGATATTTGGCTTTTCGATGGCGAAGAGGAGGGAGGAAGGATTCGAGATGAGCGCAAGGTCTTGTTCTGCGGAAAGCCAGAGACGTCAGCTGGCATTCTACGCACGGGCGAGCATTGCAACTCACGAAGATCACGCTCTTCTTCTTCGAGCAGAAGTTGCCGCAGCGGCTCGCCGCCGTCAGTCACAACCTGCTCGACCGCCTTGCCCTCGACAAGCCGCAGCCCGCAAGCCTCGGCGGCAGACTCCCGCACGGTGACGTCGTCATCTTGCAAGAGTCGGCAGGCGAGAAGCGTGAAGTGAGGGCGGAGCGAGGCGGAAATGAGGTCGAGGGAATCGTAAAGCTTGGCGAAGCAGATGAGGGCGGCGCCGGCAGCTTCGCGCGATTCAACGGACTGAAGCAGACACAGTCAGCCTTTGGCGCGCTTCGTGATGCGAGAGAACGCACCTCGTCTACACCGCTTGCCTGCTCGATGATCCGCAGCGCCTGACTACGCGGGGCCTCCGAGCACGCTGCCGACGCCACGATCGGAAGCAGCGCTTCGCGGAGCGGGACGATGGCCGTCTCCTGCTGAGCCGCAGCGACTTCCTCGAAGTTCGCGTCGAAGGAGGACGAAGAGACAACGTGCAACAGCTTGGCCGCCTGTACTCGTACATCGCCCGCCTGGCTCACATCCAAGACGACGCGGTACATCACGTCTGCCGTCCTCTGCAGCAGTTGTGGTGGGCCAGCCTCCAGAATCGAGAGTGCGGCTCGTTTGGTCTCGAGGCTGCTGCCGGCGAGTGCGCCGCCAAGGAGTGCAGCCTTCTCGTCGTCGAGACTGCCGCGGAAGAGCACTTCCCAGCTGGACCGGGCGAGTTCCTCAGCCCCAGGAAGGCGACGCTGTTCTGCGGACCACCGTTCCGACTGCTGAACGACGTCGAACGCGACGACCGAGACGTGCGGGACGGATGAAGGAAGGTGGAGAGCGACGGTGAAGTAGGTGGAGAGGATAGTCGGCGGGTATCGGCCGGCGTCGGAGAGGGCGGGCAGCAAGTCGACGAAAGCGGTCGAGACTGCAAGCGCGAAGCCATCAGCGCTGCTCAAGCCTGGAGCAGCAGCAGAAGCTGCGCATACCTCGACTCTCGTCGTCCGACTCCAGCGGGTACACCTCGACGAGTCGCAAGATTTGGAGAAGCAGACCGTGCAGCTGTGAGCAGGCACAGTAAGCATGGAATCTTGAAGCGAGGTGGAGTGAGGGACAAACCTCGTTCAGCGAGACCTCGTCGGTGGTCTGGCGGATCTTGGTGAGGATCGCAAGGCAGGCGTCGGCGACGTCGTCAGGCGCCACCAACCCGGTCAAAGCATCTGCCGCGACGTTGCGGATCTGCGAGTAGACAAATCAGCTTCACCGAGCTACGTAGCGGAGCTACCGGGACGTCGCACCTTCCACACCCGACTCGCCAGACACGCCTCGATCAGCGGAATGAAAGCAGTCGATGGCGACGTCGGCCGATCCGGCGCGTCCGGCGTGCTGAGCCGCTTCGGCGTTCGCAGAAGCGAGAAAAGCATGAGGATGGCGAAGAGTGAGGACTGAAGATTGGAGGACTGCACGCAACAAGGCGGTCAGCCAGGTCTGGAGCACGTCGCAAGCGGAGCCGACGCACGGGCGGCAATGTTGCGCTTTCCCGCCAGCCACGCTCCAGCTCCTGCTGCAGAACGAGCTGCAGGCTGGGGTAGCGTGCGAAGAAGTCGTCAATCGAGACGCGCCTCGACAGACTGACGGGATCGCGGTCGAGGTTGGCGCGCCGAGAGTTGATGGCGCGGTTGATGAGCGAGCCGAAGAGCATCATGGCGACGTTCCGCAGGATCCAGCTGCATCAGGTGAACGGTCAGATCAAGCCCCTCAGCAGCGGACTCAGCAGCGGACGAAACATGTCCGCTCACTTCGGCGACCAGAAAAGTCGGATGGAGAGGTGGAAGCCGCGCTCAACGTATTGCTGCGCCGCGACTCCGCCCTTGGCATCGAGGAAGATGGTTCGCAAGGTGTTCATGGCGTGAGTTCGGCTTTCGTCGGTGATTTCGGAAGCTGTAGACTCGGCGACCTCGAAGAGGCGAATGAGGGCCGCATCGAAAGTCGGACGAGACGTGGGGAGAATGGCCAGCATGAGTCCGAGAATGACGAAGGGGATGGCAGCCGATCGGCGCGTGATAGAGATGCGGGCCGATACAACAGCGTCGAGGTACTCCTGCAAAGCGCGAGGGTAAATCAACGACTGTGTGCGGACGCAGACGCCAGCCCTGCGAAACACACCTTGAGCCAGTTGCCAGGCAGCTCACCAACCTCCTTCCAGCGCTTGCCGGCAACGAGCAATGCTGCAGCGCTCCGAGAGAAGCAGGGATGAAGGTTTGCGACCGTGCCGCGGTGCCGAGCAAGTCGCAGCCAAGTGCCGAAGAGGTCGCCGATCGCACGAATCTCGTCGAGATGCCAGATCTGCCGGAAAGTGTCGGTGTCCAGTTCGGACGGGATGCGCAGGATCGTCTCGAGCAGTTCTCTGAAGACACGAAAGCCGATCAGCAAGTTTTCAGACGCAAAGAGACGGTCAACGCACCCGGCTTCCTTCATCGCCCGCCAGCAGGCGCTCAGGATAATCTTGTGCTGCGTTCCTCCCGTCCCCTCCGCCGCTTCGCTCTCGTCTTCTCCGTTCCCTGCCATGGCCTGACGCTCGAAACGGATCGCACGCGCTTCTTCCGTATCCACATCGTCTCCGCCGTTCCCCTCGGGCGCCTTCGCAGCGAGAACAGGCGAAGCGACATCCCACACCCGCTTGATCACGCCGAGTGTGCGGTGGAAGATCTGTCGACGACTGTCGGCGGAGGAGATTTTGGCATACGAAGCGGCAGGGATCGAGATGAAGAGGTGTCGGAGCGCGAGAATGGTGCCGTGCATGGGCGTTCTCGATGCAGCCGAGGCAAGGTTGACCGAGTACTGCGAGAGCTGTTGCTCGACCAGGTCGAGCAAGGATGAGATATAGGCGTATCCCGCCGGCCCTCGCTCCGTCTCCTCGCCTTCAAGCCATCCACCGACTGCGCCGAGCGTTGAGCCGTCCTGGATGGCCGATCCGCCACACTCGACAACCTCGAGAACCCACTTCCTCCATACAAGTCCGATCACTCCGGCGCCTGCACTCGCTTCTGCCTCGCGACCGCTGCGGATCATGCGCAAAGCTGGCTGGAGTAGCTCCTCCTTCGCCCGAGCTGTCCCTTCTTCGCCTTCGTACCCCGGCAACGGCGATGGGAAGCGCTCAAGCATGGAGATGGCGAGGTATCGGACGGCGGTATAAGTCGAGAGAAGTTGTCGAAGGAGCGTTTGCGTCGTTTCGGGCGTGACGAGTGCGACGTCGAAGGGCCATGCAGATGGACTCGCTGCAGCGTGAAGGTGGTCGTTGAGGTCCATCTTGCGATGCTTGGCGTGGAAAGTCGGCGTCTGCGTCTTGGCCGTCTTGCGATACGAGGAGAAGCCGTTCGTGGCGTCTCGAGCATTGGTCTGTTCGCCATCTCCAGCACTCGCCTGGCCGTCGATGCGGAAGCGTGGATCGACGTGCGCTTGAAGTGCGAGGTCGAGCAGGCGCAGCAACGTAATCTTGAGGCGGAAGGGGCGGGCGGGATTGAGGTTTTCGCGCCCGACCAGGTTGAGGAACCATTCGAGGAATCCTTTCGCGGCGGAGACGTACTCGGCCGCTGCCACCGCGCCGTCCTTGCCCTTGTCTGCCGTTCGCTGCGCTTTCCACGACGAGTCGCGGAGTCGCAGAAGAAGCTTGCCGGTGAGCGAGGTGGTCGACATGCGGAACTCGGCGTCTTCGTCGGAGAGCGAGTACTGGTAGAACTCTCGGAGGAGAGGGAAGGAGGAGAGGGGAAGGGGAACCGAGGGCGACTGGGCGAGGACGAGGACGGACAGAGCCGATGTTCGAAGCGAGGTAGACGAATGCCAGAGGCACGAGCGAAGCAGAGTCGATGGCAATGCCACCTTCTTTGACAGCTTGGCATCAGGCGAGGCGTCCATCTCGACGAGGTTGAGGGCGTTGCCGGTCTTGAGGATGGCCAATGCCGCTTCGAGATCCGCCTCTGGCGTGTCCTGAGCCGACCCGTCGGTGAAGAGGTAGCCGCCGGACCGCAGCATCTCGGCGAAGAGATCTTTGCGTCGAGAAAAGGCGCCTTGCAAGATGTACGTCGTGACAGAATGCCGAAGTTTGGGCGAGTCCGTCCGGCATGCTTCGAGGCAGGGCTCGATGACGAAGGCATTGCCGTCCACGTCCGGTGTCGCCCAACACTTCTCGATCCAGCTCAGGGCCGTCTTCCCTACCAGCTGCGCCTGCTCATCGTTGAGCGCGATCGCTCGGATGAACCGCCGCATCACGCCCGCCGCGATATCCTGCATGTCCGCCGACGATTCTGAGAAAGGCGCGAAGTCCTCCAATGCGACATGCGGCATGAGGGCTTCGAGAATGCTCAGAGCTCGTCGACTATCGAGGGCGTCGACTAGGACCTTCTCCTTGAGCTGCTGCGAGACGTCCTGGACGTCGAGGCAAGCCGGCGACGCGATCGCCAACAGCGTCGCGAGGGACGCCTTGAGCTTCTGCAACGCCGACGGGAGCTGCTTGTCCCATGTTGCGTAGAGAATCGACGAAAGCTGGACGAGGAAGTCGGGCGAGAGATGCGAGCGGACGGCGTCGAGTTCTTCGGGGTGTGCTCGTGTGGTCAGGACTGCGTGCGCCCGGCGAAGAAGGACATCGAGTGTCTCGAAGGCTGTTGTGGTCGGCACCAACGGGTTCGAGCCCTTGTGGACGGCAGACGAGACGGCTGTCGAGGTTGAGGAGACGAAGGGGAGGACAGTCTCGAAGGCGGCGGCGTAGTCGAGCGGTCTGTGGGTCGCAAAGGGCGTCAATCGAATTCAGCAAGACTCGCAAACACTCACGGCGCTCGTACGCACCGTTGTCCCTCTTCACCATCCTCATCAGCTTCCTTCCCTTGTCGGCGAGATTTCGTCCGCTTCTCATCCCGCGTGAGGCGTTCGCGCAGGTCCAAAAGTCCCTCAAAGCGTGCGTCTCGCGGATCAGCTGCTGATCCGGCGCTCATAGCGACTCGTGTTCAGCTGGGGAGGGGTTGCTGGTCGAGAGGGTCGTCGAAGCGGGCTCTCCCCTCTACCTCATCCCCTGTGCTGGCTAGGAAAGCTTGAAATCTTGCAGCTATTGTCCGAGGCTTCCAGTGCTCGCATGCAGAGCGTCCGCCAACTGCGCTTTTGTACCCTTGCATCCCCTCATCTTCCTCGACTAGCATCCAACGCCCTCCGCGACCGGGCGGACGATTCGCCGCTGTGGAGTGCGGATCGAGTGACAGGAGCAGACACGAGCAAGAGTACATCGCTTGGCCCGCTACGCCAAGCTGCGTCCGTCTACTCTTCGTCCGTTCCCCAGTCGTCCCCGCCGTCCGTTTCCGCCCAGCTTCCCACAGGAGTTCAGTTGGTTTCTGCGTGACGGCGTCTCCCTGTGGCGTGCTTGCTGCCTGGACGACTCCGCGGATTCTCCGATCAGAATCTTCGCTCGTTCTCTCAGCGTGCGGGCGTTGCCAGCAGCCTTGTCTCCCTTGCGCCTCTCCGCCTGAGTCCTGCGCAGATGGCGTGTGCTGGCATGGGCTTTGCGCCGCTCGACTGTGTCAGGCTCCTGGCACGCACGACGGCAGAAATCGCAGTCGGACCATCGACCCTGGACCTTCTCTCGAAGCTCACAGGCTGGCTCTCCTGTGCGTACAGTCCGTCCCACTGGCGAGCTTAACTGATTCTCTCATTCTGTCGGTTGCTCGCTCTGGAGCTGTTTCCCCCAGATTTGCAACCTCGTCGTCTCGCCAGGTGCAGGCGGTCCGTCGCTCGCGCTTCTCTGGCTTTGGCTGTTTGGCGATATTGGACAAGTCGTGGGAATGTTCCTGACGGGTGCGCTGTTGACGCAGAAATTCTCGGGAATGTGAGCGCGTCTTTTCTCGCTCTGGGCCCGTGGAAGGCGCTGACCGCTCTTCGCAACGCAGATGGTTCTTCGTCAGCGACGTGTCTGTCGTTCTTGCTCAACTACAAAGTTAATGGCGGGACCTGACTTGACCATCTCGCAGCATCCTCATCCTGCTCACCTCCATCGAGCGCGGTCACTTCGGCAAGCGTTTCAGGCGAGGAGATCGTGTCCAGCCGCCTGTAGCGGGCCGGAAGAAGCGATGGTGGCTGGACTTCGACTCGTGGAAGGTGAACGTGTTGGTACTCGCGGTGCGTTCCCTCGCTTTCAGCGAGAACGACGTGAGCTGACATCCAGCATGCCTGTTCACGCCTTTGCCCACTCAAGCTTGTCGTCGTCGGAGGCACCACTGCCTGGGTCGTGATCGACTACGTGCACCGAGATACGGAACCGCCTCTCGAGCCGAGCACGACGCCGCACAACACCTCGAGCAGGATTGGTTGGGCGCTGGGTATGCTCGGACTGCTCTGCTACAGTCAGTTCCGCCGCTCATTCTCCCTTCATGACGCCCTTGCTGACGGTCTCGCGAAGACCTTCCTCGGATTCGCCAGATCCTCCTCATTCGCCGGCAGCGGACTCTCGGCAACATCTCGCTTTACATGTACCTGTGGCTCATCGCACAGAACTTGACAATGCTCGTTGTGCGTCAGCTCGTCCCCAACGATACTGCTCGCGCTGACCGGCCAGCGCGCAGAGCATTCTCGCAATAACTCCGCCAGAAGGTTCCGCTGCTCTGAGGCACTTCTTCGGGCAGGCGCCCTTCCTCGGTGGCGCGCTCTTCGCGCTTGCGAACGACTTGATCGTGCGCCCCTTTCTCTCAGTCTCGCTGCTCGCGCAACTCGGGCTGACCTTCCCAGTTTGCAGATCCTCGGACTGTATTTCCGCTACGACCACGGCAAACCTCATCACGAAGCCGCCAACGACGGCTCTGATGGCGACTCCGATGCAGCTGACATGGCCGAAGCGGGCCTGCTCTCGGAAGACGAGCGATCCCATTCGACGAGTCGACCTGAGGGACGATCGCGCGACCGTCACGCTCGGCTCGAACGGCTCAGCAGACAGCACGACGAGTCGCTTCGGCTGGAGGAGAAGCGTGCACGAGGTGGAGCTGGACAGCTGCCCATTCTTGCGAGGCGACGCCTGGCGACGGAACTCGACCACCGAGCGGCCAAGGACGACCAGCAGTGGCGTGACTTCGAGGCTAGCCAGAGCTCACAAGGCAGTGGCTCGAGTGGCGACGAGGCGAGCGAATCGAGGCGTCGGCTTCAAGACAAGCGGCGGAGGCTCGAGGACCTCCGCACGAGCAGGCGGCGGTCAGACGGAAGAGCGGAGGCAGCTATCGACGAGGAGCTGCGGACGCATCCTCTGCGCGAGCACATCGACCGTCGGAAGGCCGAGCCCAGCGGACGAACCAGCTCGACCGAGCGCGAACACCGATCGAGCGGCTCGTCGGAGGACCACCTACGACGACCAAGCCAGCGTTCAACTCGCTCAATCGGCAAGAGGGTCTTTCATCCTCGGCGCGGCGTCGGGACGGACTGGTAGGAGGGCGGTGGAGGCGACTTGCGAGTGCGAAAGTAGACAGCAGTAGACCAAACGGGTAGACGCAGAATGCAATGCGGTAGATCTACAAGCAACAGAACAAGCCCAGCAAGTCTCCACGCCTAGTCCCGTCCTCGCTTCCTCCCCCCGCCAGCGCCTGATCCGCTCATGTTGCCCGCCAGTCCCAGGTTCCCGCCACTAGCGGTGTAGGCGTACTTGTTGAGCGTGTTGTGCTGCATCTTCGGGTCTGAGTCGTCGTGGGCGACGCGGCGGAGCGGGTAGGAGACGGCCGGAGGGAGATGCGTGAACGCGCTGCAGGAGCCGAGGCGTCAGCACGAATAGTGAAGTGTTTGAGACGATTGCATCGCGACCGTGAGGACGTACTTAGCGTGGGGTTGCGGATCTTGACCCCACCAAGCGTGGCAGAGCGCTGCTCGCGCCGTGATTCGCCTCGTCGGATCATAGGCGAGCAACTGCCGCATGAAGTCGTACGCAAGCGATGGCGGAGCGCCACGAGGAAGACGGCCGTTAAACCATTGCGAAAGGCAGTCTTGGTAGCTGCGAGGAGGGGAGAGGGAGTGTGAGCTGACGGACATGGGGGCTTCGTAGGCGGAAGTGTCAAAAGTAACGCACCGATCGAGGCGCGAGAGTTGTGGGTACTCGGGTAGTTGAACGACGCTCGGCCAGTCTTTCGCTGTTGGCCAAGCGCAGGAAGTGGGTAAGTTGCAACCGCTTCATCAGGGAGAGGCGTGTAACGTACGGTTGATGGATCCCAGCACCTCGATGACTCGCGTAAGCTGATCTCGCTGGAAGGGAACGCCGCCCTTCTTCGCGCCCAGCTCAATCTTCGCCTCCTCACCCTTGAACATCGGTCGCAAGCCGAGGAGCTCGCCGTAGATGCAGCCCATCGACCACATGTCGATCGCCGGCGTGTAGTGCCGCGCTCCGAGTAGCAGTTCCGGCGAGCGGTACCAGACTGTGACGACAATCTGAAAGTGCGAAGTGTCAGCGGGTGAAGCCGAGCCAGACCAATTCCGGCTGCGGACCTTGTCGCTCGTATACAAGCTCTGCAGCGGCTCCTGGTACAACCTAGCGAGGCCGAGATCGCCAATCTTGACCTGTCCTTTCTCCGTCACGAGGATGTTGGCGGGCTTGAGGTCGCGGTGGATGATCCAGTTATCGTGCAGGTAGCTGACACCGTTGAAGAGCTGCCACAAGAGCGACTTGAGCACGCCGAGCGGCAGCTGTGTCCGAGTCGACGAGTGGTGGTGGATGATTTGCTGTAGGCGACGAGGATGAGAACCGTCTCAGGCGGAAGAACTTGCCCAGCGTCGCTCACGAGAAAGTCGTGTTCCGCGTACTCGAAGACGAGGTAGATGCTCTTCTCCTCGAGCATGACCTCGCGCAGAGCCGTGACGTTCTCGTGCGAGATTTCGCGGTTGATCTGCGAGAAATCGGGTCAGTAGAGGCAGGGGGCAAGGGCCGACAAACGCACCATGATCTCCCTGCACGCACTCTGCGATATTCCCGTGTACGTGACCACCTCTCCCTCCTTGTCAGGCTTGAACTTCTTGATCGCAACGAGTTCGCCCTCGTCGTCGCCCTCATCCCGACTCAGTTTCAGCCTTTTGCCTGGCGTTGCGGCCGACGGCGTCCCCAGCAAGCCCGCGGGAGAGGCATCAGAGGTGTGCTGGCGCACGCGAGCCTTGTACACGCGTCCGTACGTGCCGGACGAGAGGAAGCCAAGGATAGAGTAGCGGCTGCGGTAGGCGTCAGCGTCGCGGGCCCTGCGACAAATAGCAGAGCGGACGCACCTCAACACTGTCGGCCTCTGGAAGTCCCGCTTGCTCTTGTACAGGTCGTGCGGAGTCTGAATGTAGGCCGGGAAGGGGCTCTGTGGGGGCATGGCGAGGTCGAGAGAATGGCCGAGTTAGTGGGGAAGCAGGGCAGCCAGTGCCCGTTTCAACAGTTCTGCAGCAGGTCCAGCGCAAGCAGCACGCCGTACGAAGCCGCTGACGAGGTGGGAGGAAAGAGAGCTTGCGAAAGGAGACGAGGCGGAGGTCCTCAGACGGCACAAGTGAAGAACCTAAAGCACGAGCAAGCCCTCTATGGCGAGCGGAACTGACTGGAAAGGCGACGAGGCAGGGCGGCGAGGCAAAGCGAGAGGCGAAATCGCGGAATCTATTCCTTCGATAACAACAACAGCCCGAAACGATGTCGATAAGACCGCACAAGCATGCGTACGAGTAAGAGAAACCTTTGGCGACAGCCTACGCCGCGACACCAGCCGTCGACGCGGGAGGCGGAGCGGACGAGGGCGTATTCGGCGCATTCCCTGCTCCTTTCCCTCGTCCTCTGCCACCACCTCGACCTCCCCGTCCTCCACAGCTGGCACCACCGCGCTTCGGCGTGATTGCGCCCGACGGCGATTCCGAGGGACCAGCCTCCGTCTGACTAGGCGGGACAGACTTCTTCGCTCCTCCCCCTCGGCTCTTCCCACCACGTCCCCCGCCGCTGCCGCCCCGCTTCCCACTCTTGCCCGGCTGGGCCACAGCTGGCTGCCCGCCAGTCTCCTGCTGCACCTTCCGACTCTCCTCCTCGAACCACGCCAAGAACTCCTTCTCCTCCTTGAGCGCCTGTTCTCGCCGCCGCGCTTCTGCCTGCTCCTCCGCCATAACGTCCGCAAAACTACGAGGAGCCCGGTGATGCTCGACGGCCGCAAGTTGCGCAATCTGCTCGGACTGGATGGCGGCGAACGAGGCGGCGGGAGAAGGCGGTGCGAAGGGGTCGAATGCGGCGGACGAGCTCGAGGCGACAGGCGGCGCAGGCGGAGCGATGCGATCAAAGTTCTGCCAAGGCGTGTCGGAACCGCCGAAGTGCGACTTGGGCGTGCGAGAGCCGGGAGTGCCTTTGGTCGGCGTCATTCGCGAGGGGGTGTAGACGGGTCCGGTTGCAGACCCGGGAGGAGGAGGGGAGCGAAGCGAGGGAGAAGATGCGGGAGGCGTGTTGCGGAGTAGGGGAGGCGGGCTGCGTAGGGAAGGCGTCGAGGGTGTTCGGCTGACCGTCGGCGCCGCCGCCTGCTGCTCGGACTGGATACTGGCGAGTGACGAGGCACGCGGAGCGGACACTGGTCGCCACGACGACGCAGACGCCGAGAGACCGCCAAGGGCGGGTATCGCAGCGTTCGACGGCGGAACAATCGGCTGCTTCGCGAAGCTGGGCCGCCGCTGTTCCGACGCCGCCGACTGATCCGCCATGATGCTTCGCAGGTCGAGCCGATCCTTGTCGTTCTTCTCCGGTGGCGCCTGCCAGGGCTGGAGGCGAGAGGGCGGAGGCGAGCCGAGAGGCATAAAGCTTGCCTGCGAGGGCGAACCTGCTGGCACGAGCGAAGAGCGACGACGCCCAATCGCTGCTTGTATGGGAGGCGACGTGACGGGCAGGGCACGAGATGGTGTTGACGCGCCCGATTCGAGCATGAAGTCCTCGTCGAGGGTGAACGGCTCATCGACTTCGCGAACGGCCGGTAACGATGGACTAGGGTTCGGGGACATGCTGGGTCGCAGGCGGGGAGACTTGGAGGATGAGGCGATGGGGGCAAGTTGTGGAGACGAAGTAGGCGAGAGCAGGGAGGGCGAAGGTCGAGGCGAATTTGGAACGACTGCTGGTCGGTAACGCTTTGCAGCGCCGGTCGGACGAGCGACGTCGGTCTCGGCGTAGTACTCTGGGTGCTTTGCGATAACCTCCTGCAGAAGGAGTCCTGAGCGGGAGATGGGCATCTTTGCGCCTTGTCGCTCGCGGATAAATGCGGCGAGAGCGACGAGAAGATCGGTCGGCAGGTCATCGAGCAAGCTGGTCTCGAGAGCCGTCTCCATCGACGACGAGCTGCGAGACGGGGAAGTGAGCACTTGCTGCAGGGTGGCTTTCAGTGGTGACGCACAGGAAGTACATGCAGGCGCGCGCCAAATCGTGCGCCTCGTAGAACGCGGCGTCGCACAGGATCGAGCAGACGTTCTGCAGCGTGACTGTGTGCGAGATCGTGAAGGTGAGTGCTAGACGTGCGAAAGAAGATGAACTCGTGAACGTACCGAAACTGCGCAAGACTGCGGAGCAGACCTGCTTGAGCTTGTCGAGGAGGAGCTCGTTCGCCGCCGCCAGGACCTGCACCGTGAAGTCGATGTACTCGTCGGCCGTCTCGCGCTCAATTGTCTGGAAGAGGCTCATGCCGGCGTCTCGGTAGATGTGGTCGAGGACGAGGCTCATGACCGTCCAGTCAATGTGCGCAAAGTCGAAGCTGACGATGCCCCGTTCCCGTCGCGAGTCGGACCAGTCGGCATCGTCGAAGAACGTCGTAAAGAAAGGGCAACGGGCGCGGAGGACAACAGAGTGACACTTGACTTCGCGGTCTGCGAGGCGGAGCACGACGTCCGGCTTCAGCGAGTCTGGCAGTCGTCCTTTCGAAGTTGACGATGCGGAGAAGACGTCGCCAAGCGAGGCAGCGAGAACCGGCGGTGGCACAGTCTTGACTTGCCGCTCGAGAACCTGCGCGAGTGCGGAGAGCTCGAGCGCCAGCGCGAGTTCCCGGAACTCGGTTCTGACGACGCCAACCTGCAACATCCCCTTTTGCTCGTCTGGAAGCGATGCGCGAAGTGGCATGCCGATGCGAGTGTCCCATACGGCGGGGAAGTCGTCCGAGTAGAGGTAGTGAATGAGGAGGAAGGCGGTGAGGGGCGAGCAGGACAGGTCGAACTGCCGACTCGTGGCGAAGTGCTGGGCGAGGACTGGCGAGCGAGCCGAGAGCACTGACTTGTGCACAGGGATGGTGAGCGCGCCGACATTGACGACGGCATCGGTACCACACGACGGGACCTCCCAGGTCAAGTCCCAGCAACGAATGATCTCCATCAACCGTCGTGCGACTTCGATGTCGCGTTCGATGACGGCGTCCGTATCGTCCTCGTCGTCCGAGTCCTCGCCCGCTGTCCGTCTCGGCCTCGACTGCCCTGCCATAGCCTCGAGCGCGGCTGGTCCACCATTTCGCGCCCAGTGAGGGAGGACGCGCAGCAAGTCCCTCGCGAGAGTCGGTCCCTCGATCTCGATGAACCGGAGCGGCACGTCGGCGCGGATGGCAGCGAAGCCGGCCGTCGAGTTAGCCGCGACCTTGATGACACGCTGGAGGTACGGGATGCGCGAGAACTTCCAGCCGCCTCCCTTTCCCCCGTCGCCACCCTTCGACAACGACGACGAGCCCTCGAACTTGCGCGAGCGGACGAAGACGTGGCCGGATACGGTGCAGATGATCAGGCTGCCGTCTAGTCCGACATCGAGATCTGTCGCCGACGTGAAGCTCCGGCGGACGTTCCAAAGCCTCTGCGTCTTGGGCGTCAGGCGCGAGCCGTAGCCAGGCGAAGAGGTGCCGTCGCCGCCCGATGAACCTGCCGACGTTGAGCCGGAGTCGAGCGAGAAGGTAAAGACGTCGCCGAGCGAGCTGAGTGCGGCGAAAGTATTGCCGCGCGAGGCGATCTTGCGGATAGACGGTTTCGCGCCGAGACTAGGTGGGCGGTAGACGAGCATCTTCGAGGGGAAGGGCGTGAGAGGGAAGGAGACCTTGACGTATGCCTCGTGACAGAGGACGACAACATCGCGCGACTCAAGGAGGCATGCCGTGGCATTCTCGGTCGCGGTGAGCTGGATGACGGGCTGCTGGATGAGGGTGACCTTGCGCGGCAGAATCTGAACCGAGTTGCCGGCTATGGGATAGCCCAGCTGGCCGCGCGCCGTTCCCCAGGTGTACAGCGAATCTGCCGTGAAGACTGCTGTGTGGGTACGAGACGCTGCTGCGCCGAGGACGACCTCCTTCTTGAGCGCACCGACAACTCGGCGAGGCGTAGACTGGATCGGGTCGTCCTGGTGATTCGACTTGGCGAAAGGCGACGGAGTCGGGGCATCGAGAGGGTAGCCAAGCTGAGAGAAGCGGTTCAAGCCGAAGGTGTAGACATCACCAGCAGTCGTCACGACGACCGTGTGATCTGGCGAGAGTACGACCGAGGAGACGGGGTGAGGGAAGTCGCGGAGCGGGGCGAAGGTGAATTGGGTCTGGGTCGTCGGGCCAAGGCTGCGGGTCGCACGCACGGCATAAGCACAGCGCGCCGACACTGGAGGAACTGGGAACGCACCGTCCGCCAGTTCCGTACCCGCACAGCCTCACGTTATTCCGCTTCTCGTCCGTCACGATCGCGGTATGGAGCCTCGCCATGCTGATATCCTTGACCCTCAGCGGCTCGAACGCCGACAGTCCTCGTCCACCTTCTTCCCGCCTGAGCTGAACCCGTTCCGGGATCGTCCGCTCGCTGTCGCTGGCGAAACCGAGGACGAAGTTGCGGTTCGAGCCCCAGGAGAACAGCTCCATGCGTCCTGGGTTGGCAGGGTTCGTGGAAAGCGGGTCGGGCGAAGGGTTCGTGCCGTCGACGGTCGAGTTGTAGACGTCGAAGGGGGAGAGGCCCTCGTAGTCTTTCAGGCGCGTGTCGACGTCGTCGCGGGCGAGAAGCAAGCGTGCTGCGGCGATGTTCTGGAAGTCAAGAGCGTCAGCGTATGGGCCAGGGGTAGAGAGAAGCGAGATGTGAACGTACCCCGGCGTACAGAGCCCGATGAAGCGCGCTCCAGCCGCTCTCGGTGTCCTGCGCGTTGACGGCCAAGCCCGAGACGCCGAGGAGCAGCTCAACCCAGTCAAGCGCCCATGGCTCCGACTCTGTCACTGCGAGGTGGAGGACAGTCCGTCCGAGGTAATCTCGGCGGTTCAGCTCCGACGCTATCGCTGCCTTGTCCGCATTCCCGCCTCCGCCGCCCCAACCGCCCATGTTCGGGGACTTGGAGAGAACTCCTCCACCGCCAGACGCTCCATTCCCACCGCTTCCTCCTGCACCGCCTGCCGACGCAGACCGGATAAAGGTCCGCGCCTTGGCGATCGCCCTCGAGGCGTAAAGGGCATGAATGTCCGTGGTCGACGCCAAACTCATGTACTGGTGCTGCAGAGAGCGGTCTCGAGCGCACTCGAAACGCTGTCGTCGATGTTCCTCCTGCGACTTGGCGGAGAGGAAGCGCGACGAAGTTCAAGGGCGTCAAGAACGGGAGGTTCGCGCGTCGGCGGTATTCAGCGGACGTGCGTAGCGAGTGCCGGAGACTGGATAGTCGGATCAGATGGGGAGGAGGGTTGTTGACGTCGAAACGTGCGGGAGGAGGATCTAGGATTGGCGGCCGGTTCGAGCGCTCGAGAGACGGCTGACAAACAAGAAGCTGGCTTCGACGGCGAAACTACTCGCAGGCAACCCTTGTCAGCTCGCTGTTGGGAGAGACTGAGGCGGAGGCGATGAGGCGGTGGTGCGGGGCGAGGAACGGCGACTAGGCGACAGAACAAGTGGCGGCTTCGTCGATGGCGTAAGAGAATGCAGACAGACCTATTGAGTTCGTGTCCAAGCGAGCAAAGCGCGAGCGAGGAGAGCAGCAAGTGGCGGCGGAGCGAAAGAGGCGAAGCATCGACTTGCAACGTTGACATCTCGAGAGAGGCGCCAGGATTGGTCGATCCTGGCTGACAGACACTATTCGAGCACAGAAAACCGCCTGCGATCCAGCAGAACCGCCGCGAACACGGATCTCGAAGTGTCTGCGGATAAATCGGCGAACGAAATGCGTATTGTGTACAATCCTGCACAGATGCTCTCCTCCCGTCATAGCCAAGCGGCCCTTGACCGTCCCTCAGATGTCTGCGTCGAGCTGCTGGCGGACGAAGGCGCGAATCGACTCGTCGTACTCTTCCCGGTGGTCGCGGTACATTTTCTGCGCGGGGGTACAGTGCTCAGCTTAGTCGAGCCGGTTTGCATGAAGAGGTAACATGTTGGACGCACGCAGGCGTCGATGTTGGCGCCCGACTCGAGGTTTGGCTCTGCACGGCGCAGAAGAACCGGGTCAGCGTGCGCTCTTGAGGGAAACAGCGCGACTTTGGTCATCTGACGCACCTGCCAGCATGCTGATGACACTCAGCAAGATCTTCTCGACGCTCTGCACGGGACTCCACCGCTCGCTCGCCGACTCGTACGCGTTCGGGTCGTCGCCAGGCGCATGCAGGATTGAGATGCAGACTTCGCCGGAGGCGTAGACTGCGAGACGATGCCGAAGAGTGTAAGTATCTCGTGAGCGGCGAAGACGGGTCCAGAAGAGAGGACGGACTGTTGGGGTGGAAAAGGGGAGGGTCGAACCGCATCTGGAGGCGAGAGATCCGTCACATCAGTCTGGCCACCTTCGCAGGACTGGAGAACCGGATGCTCACCTTGGGAGGGCTCAAAGGATAGTCCCGAGGGAACTTGAGCTCCGCATGGAAGACTCCTCCCTCGAACGGCGTGTCCTCTGCGGAAGGTTGCGGTCAGCGAAAGCGCACGACGCCGGTTCCGGCTCGTCCGACGCACCAGGACCAGAGATAAGGCAGGACCACGTGAAGAAGTCGTCCTCGCTGACGGGTCCTGCGAGACGAGCATCCGGGATAGTCAGCGAGCGGGACGAGATCCACGCGTTTTGGATACTGGCAGACCGCAGCGCACCAGCAGTGAACATGCTGTCCTCATTCTCCTGCTCTGACAGCTGCTTGTACTGCAGGATTGCCCGAGAGGGTCAGTACGCGACCCGGATGTTGAAAGAGCGAGAAGGCGTGGGCGTACCTCTGTCATCAGTCGTCGGAGCGCGGTGTTGTTGCCAGCCATGATTGCGAGTCTGTAAGAGCCTGGGACAATGCAGAAAGTCTAGCAAGAGGGCGTTTGAAGCGGACGCAGTGAGCGGAGGGAGGCGAAGAGACGGTTCCGCTTGAACTCGCTGCTCGTTACGCTCAGGATGGCTGCAGAAGGGCCGCAGATGGCTCAGCTAGTACGGGCTTACCTCGCACTCGACAGCCCCGACCCGTCCACCGCTCAGCAGCTCGCGGATGGTGAGCGCATCGCTCGCCGACGACCTCGAGTTGCCTCGCTGACTCGCTTGTGCAGGACTGGGTCGTGGGGACTGGAAGATGCTGCAGATTGTCAAGGAGCTGGGCAGCGCATTGACGAGCGAAGTGGACGCGACGAGGGCCAAAGGTGCGTCTGCCGCTGTCTATCTCCGTCATGTCAACGAGGCGAGAGCTGACCTGCCCACCCTTGCAGGCGTCGAGCTGCTCTCCAGTGTTGTGGTCAAGATGGACAAGGAGCTGCTGGACCGACAGACGAGTGAGGACGCTCTCCTCGCTCGTCCCGAAGATTCGTCCAGATTGACCTTTCCTCCCCGCAGCCAAAACTCTGACGACGTTCTTCGTCGACAAGCTGTCGGAGAAGACGTCTCTCGTGCCATGCGCGACGGCACTCACCGAGTTGACGACGTGTTCGACGTTCGGAACTGGAGAAGGCATGGAGGTTGCTCGAGGGTAAGTTATGCTGTCCATTTCTTTCGCGCTGTCTCTCGCTGACTGGCCCTAACCACTCTACACAGAGCTCTGTCGTCGGTCACTCTGAAGGCTCACCCTCAGGCGATCCGGCACTCCGTCTACGTCCTCCTCGACCACCTCATGACCCATTCGCGCCCGGCTCTCAAGCGTCTTGGCAACGACTTCATCGGCGGCTACTGCGCACTCGTCGAGGGCGAGAAGGACCCGCGCAACCTCATGATCAGCTTCAGCGTGATCAAGGTCATCCTCCTCGAGTTTGACATCGTCCGGCATGTCGAGGTGCGGAACACTCTCGAGGTACAAAGGCACTCACTGATGCTATCCACTCGCAGGACCTCTTCGACGTCACGTTTTGCTACTTCCCGATCACCTTCACGCCGCCGCCTGACGACCCGTACGGCATCTCGTCGGAGGACTTGATCGTCGCGCTGAGGTGCGCCGCTCCTCTTTCGGCGTTACCTCATGACGTCGCTCACTCTCTTGCGCTTGCAGGAACTGTCTTTGCGCTACCCCTCTGTTCGGCCGCCTCGCTCTTCCGCTCTTCCTCGACAAGATGCAGGCCGCGTCGGAGAAGGCAAAGGTGCACACCGAGCAGTCCTCGGCCCGAAGCAATCGCTCACCCATCTTGTATCATGCAGCGCCAAACTCTGCAAGCGCTCATCGCCTGTTTCCCGATCTACGGCGCCGAAGTTTCGGGCGAATGGGCTGGTCGTTTCTCAGAGGCCTTGATCATCGAGGTGCGTCCTAATCTTCCCGCCCTTTCCGACGACGCCTGATCCGCCTTGTGCAGGTCTTCCATGCGTCCGATACCGACATGCAGGATCTCGCCCTTCACACTTTCCGCTCGCTCTACGCGACGCTCTATCCGGACCACCCAGCTTTGCCCGTCGTCGAAGAGACGCATGCTGCCGATGGAGGAGATGTCGAGATGTCGAGTCCGGCGGATACGGAAGAGGACAAAATCGAGGGCGTGGCGGTCAAGGCGGTACTCAACTCGCTGGACGAGCTGCAGGAGCCGGACAAGAACAACGCAAAGCCAGCCGTGCGGATATTGACAGCCTTTGTTGCCGCGTCGAGTGCGTCTCCGCGTCGTTTGCACAATCTTATCAGCTAACGCACCTTCGAACAGACCGGCTTGCCCGCTATGTCATCAAGCAAGCACTACCGCCTCTGCTCGACCTGTACAAAGACCAAAATCAGATCACGCTTCGCCCCTCCATCCTGTCGCACATCGCCACGCTTCTCTCCTCGCTGTCGGATCCCGAACCCGAAACTCCCGCCTCTGCCGCTCCGCTCTTCTCGCCTCCCACCTTGTCTCACGCATCCGGCGAATCGCCTCTCGAACCGTTCCGAGACGACCTCCTTACCATTCTCACCTTCTCCTCCCGCGCCCTCACCTGCCGAACCGCCTCCGTCTCCGGGCTCGTCGCGCTCCTCAAGATTCCGGCCTTCCTCTCTCCCGCTGAAGTCGACTTTTGCGTCTCGGCGATCAATGATGTCCTCGTTCAGCCAGACGGTGACGAGTACTACGATGCCGCTCTCGACGCCCTCGTTATTGTGGCCCGCCTCTTCCCACGAACAGTCGAATCATCCACGCTCCCTATCCTCTTCCGCGCCTTCCCCTCTTCGCCAGCGCCTGAACCGACCAGCTCAGAGAGCGAAGCGTATCGCCGAGCTCTCGAGGCTCTCGCCGCCCTTTGCCTCCACCCCGACCTTTTCGAGATTCTCACACTCCGACTCACCTCCCGCCTCGAGGAGATCCTCGCTTTTACGCCGACCTCGCCTTCCGACTTTTCCGCCGCGACGCTCTACGCGCACCACATCCTCGAGACGTTGCGGGCGGTTTTGCAGGAGAAGATCCGGCGGAATCACCTGGACGTCGGCAAGTACATCGAGCGGTTCGTGCCAGGCCTTTGCGCGTTGTTCATCTTGCCGACGCTGCGAGCGTCGGCTGACGATGCTGAAGGAAAGCGGGTGGTTGCGAAAGACCCGCGACTGCTGGTCGACGTCGGCAAGGTCGTCAACCTCGTTGTTCAGCGAGTGGACCTGGAGTGCGTCGAACCTCGTCCAAGATCTAGCTCGTACTTACGCTGGGCACACCCCGCAGACGCCAAACCAGCTTCTCGCATGCCGTCAACGAGGCGTTCCACCACGGCAAGCTGGACATGCTGCTCGGGTCGGCTGGCAAGGCAGCGGAGAGCGCCAATTTCCAGCCATTCTCCGTACGTGTCGCACTGATCTCTCGACCCCAGGCTTCTGTACTGACCATATTCCCTTCGCAGTCCTCCAGCGCTACCTCCCAGCAGAACCTCGTCTCGCTCTTCACCTCCCTCCTCCTCGCCATGCGCCCCGCCGTCTCCCTCCCCTCCTCCGAACTTCTCACGTTCCTCCGCTCCTTCCTCGCACGCAGTCTCGTCTGCCAAAACGAGATCCAGCTTGTTGCTGTTCTGCACTTGCTCTCCAATTCGGTCAACAAGCGGGCGCAGGGTAAGTCGATCTCGTCGGGACTGCGGCTTGATGGATGACTGGACTTTGCCAACTCCCGCAGATGTCGGCGAGTTCATCGACGAGGACCTGCCCCGCTTCTTCTCGGAGAGCGTCAAGGATGCGTCGAAGCCGCTCGCAATGCGACGATCTGCTCTTCGCGTCTTCACCTGGGTACGCCGTCTTCCTCATCCGTACGGTATGCATAGGCAATTGACGAGACTCGCCTGCAGGTCGCCAAAGGCCTCATCGTGCGCTCCGACCAGCGCGGCTACACGATGGTGGACCAGCTGCTCGACCTCTTCCACGACTCGGAGCTCGGACGGACAGCAGCGACGTCTTTGAGCGTCATCGCGGAGGACAAGGACCGCGTGCTGTCGAAGGAGAACTTTGCCGTCATCCGGGTGAGTTCGCTTGTGGCCCATCGCTCGGGACTTGCGGCTGACCATGACCGCCCTACGACAGCTTCTGTACAAGCAGCGCTTCTTCACCTATCTCCTGCCGAAGCTCGTCACGTCGTACAAGGCGGCGTCAAGCGAGGACCAGGTCATCTACCTCACTGCGCTGTCGTCGGTCCTGCAGCACATCCCGAAGCAGCTCACTTTGTCCGAGTTGCCAAAGGTGCGTTCGACTGTCTTCTTGGATCGGCGCAAACGAGCTCACAGTATCTCGCTGCGCAGCTTCTCCCGCTCCTCATCACAGCTCTCGACTTGCCCGACCCGCTCCTCCGCGCAAACGTCATCGATGCGCTCGCCGTACTCGTCAAGGAGGTCCCCGCAGAGATGGAGAACTCGATCAGCGGGATCGCGGGCAAGGTGCTCAAGGGCTTGACGGGTGGAGCGGGGGCAGGTCAAACCCCTGCGCAGGCGCGGTCGGCGGCAGTAAGTCGCGCCTCTCTATTTGAAGTCGCTATCGCAGGCTGACTCGCCGTGTCTCGCAGCAACTCCGCCTCTCGTCACTCTCGTTCCTCGCTGTCCTCCCGGCGCACATCCCCTACCTCGCCTTGCACTCGCAGAAGGCTGTCGTCCTCAAAGAGCTCGGCAAGGCGGTTGACGACCCGAGGAAGGACGTCAGGCGAGCGGCGGTCGAGTGTCGCAGCGCGTGGTTCTTGTACAGCGGTTGAGGCGAGAGAGCAATAGCATGCGCATGTCGTCGTCCTCTGGCCTCGCAGCCGTCCTCGGCTCCTCCCTCGCGTGCACGCGGCAGAGTCAAAAGCTTGAGCAGCAAAAGGAAGAGCTGCCTGTCTGAACTTGCCACAGCGAGGGAGGCAAAAGGAGAAACTCTTCGACCGGGAATTGAACCCGGGTCTCAGCCGTGACAAGGCTGGATACTAACCACTATACTATCGAAGAAGGCGTAACCAACTGAGCTAGTCGGCTGCTGTTGTCAGCTCGGCTAACCTATGCATGTACATCGCCCCTCGTGCCTCCCCCCGTCCGCCTCCTCGCTCACCGCTCACAGCTGTCCCCCGACTGCTTCAAACAGCTCAGTAGACACCTAGTACTCGCCTCATGACCTCCGACGACATCACCGAACCCTTCCCTTTCACATTCCTTTCACGCGCGACCCCCTCCTCGGTCCAGCGGTCCAGGCGACGATGACGAGGTCCCTCTTCCTCTCCCTCGTACGCTTCACTCGCTGTGGTCTACTGCTCACACGATGCCGTTGAAGCCATCGCAGACGCGCAGCGGAGCCGTGCACCTCCCACTCGTCCGCGGCGCACCCGTCCAGCGCCTCACGGTCTCGCTCTTCTTGCGCTTCTGGATCCTCTTCTTCATCCAAGCAGGTGAGCTGGACTGCATTTCACCGACTCACGGTGAAGCGAGCTGACACTCCGGCGGGCGCAGTCTTCCTCATCCCCTTGCAGTGCTTCCTCGAGTACTTTGTCCTCCGTCTGTTCTCTCCCGTGGTCCAGGACGTCGGTCGCCCCATCTACACCCACTACCTCATCAAGCTCGTTCAAGCCGTCTACCGCCGCTCGACCCCTGCCCAGCTCCGTGTCCTCGCCGACCGCGTCCGCTCGTATGCCCTCGTTCACTCGGCGCCCAAGTACCGCGGCTGGGTCAAAAAGGTGGAGGTGAACGGGACGAGCGGAAGGTGGCTTGCTGCACCCGAGACGGACAGGAAGAAGGACGACGTCGTCGTCTACTTCATCCACGGAGGAGGCTTCATGTGCGTGCAGGCCTTTCACTCCGGTCTCAAACCCTACTCATCGCGCTGTTCGCAGCTTTGACTCGGGCATCAACTCGCAAGACTTTTTCCTCAGCACGATCAAGGCGCTCAAAGACAAGCACGGTCTCCAGGCCTCGGGCTTTTTCCTCGACTACCGCAAGTCCGCTCGAGTTCTGCTTTTCCCTCTGCGAAACTGACGCTCGCCGTCTTGCAGGCCTTGCTCCCGAGTACAAGTACCCGTCGCAGCTCATCGAGACGCTAGCGGGCTACCACTACCTCGTCAACACGCTGGGCATTAGCGAGGACAAGATCCTGATCGCAGGCGACTCGGCAGGCGGCAACCTCGCTTCCGCCTTCCTCCTCCACCTCGCCCGTCCTTCGCCCGACATCTCGGTCCCGTCTTCGCTCGGCCCGACGCCGAAGAAGCCCGCTGGCGCCCTCCTCATCTCGCCCTACGTGAACCTCTACTCGAACACGGCCGAGTTCCACGCCAACGCGACCTACGACCTCCTCTCGACTTCGCTCATCGCCCGCGCGGCCTTCCACTACATCGGCGCCGAGTTCCCCCGCGAGTACCGTTTCCGCCACCCCTCGTCGAACCCCTTCCGCCTCCTCCTTTCGCCGCAGAAGCTCCCGAGTCACGAGGCAGAGAAACTGCCTGGCGTGTATGGCTGGTCGGATGTCAAAGGTATCGAGCTCTTCCGCAGCCCGTATGTTCAGCCGAGCGTCCAGCGCGACAAGAAGTGGTGGAAGGAGGCCATGCCTGGTGACGGCAAGACCATCGTCTCGTGGGGTGAGGCGGCGCCTGTTCCTTCATCGCGAGTCCCCGAGCTGACGATCTTTTCTTTCGCAGGCGGCCGCGAGTTGTTCTCGGAGGACGACGCCGTCTTCTTTGACCTCCTCGAAAAGGTGTGTGAGCCCGTGTTCGTTCCCTGGGCTTCGCTGATTGTCTCTCGCGCTGCAGTCTGGCATCAAGCCCGTCAAGCACTTCCACCCCGAACGCATCCACGACTTCATGCTTCACGACTGGGTGCGCACCTTGTTCTTCGACTCCCAGACTCCGCTCACGGCTTCTCCTGCAGGCTCTTCCGACGACGTGGCGCACCCGCCGCACGGGCGCCGACGCCGACGACTTCTACCTCGGCCGCAACCTCGTCGTTTCCCTTCTCAAGCGCATCTCGGACGAGGCCAAGGTGTCGCAGCGCGAGGCGGATCACAAGCCGGAGGAGGCCAAATCGACCGCGACGCAGGATGCCAAGACGACCAAGCTGAACGGAGAGGCTGCTTCGCTCCGCCAGCGCTCGAAGCAGGAGGCCAAGTCTACTCCGACACCTGGGCCCGCGCCCATCGCCGATAAGCCCTCTCCGAGAGCGCCCACCTCGTATGCTTCGATCGCCTCGCACGACGAGCACATCCCTTCGTCTGCTCCTGTCGTCGCCGAGGGCGAACACGCGAAGATCAAGACGCTTGAGGAGCAGGCTGAGGAGGAAGCGGAGGAGGCCAAGCAGCATTCGACGGACGGAGCGAGTTATGCACATGTCGCGGCCGACTCCGAACACGTCAAGGAGGACGCGCCGGTCGTTGCGGAAGGCGAGGGCGCGACCATCCACCGCAAGTCGGAGGAAGAGACCACGACCAAGACTGTGCCGCCGCCTGCTCCTTCGCCCGTTCCCGAAGTCTCGACCGACACGGCGTCGCCCTCTCAGCCCGCCGAGCCGACGAGCGAACTCCCGACCGTCTCGAAGGCTACCAAGAAGTCGAAGAAGAAAAAGGGCGGCAAATCGTCGCCTACCGGTCAGGCGAACGGCACGAACGGCGGCTCGTCTTACGCCGCGATTGCGAGCCACGACGACAACGTCCCGCAAGGAGCGCCTGTCGTTGCCGAGGGAGAGGGAGACGTCCTCAAGGCGCACCTCGAGAACGGGTCGCTCGCGGTCGAGAAGGCTTAGATCGGCCTCCCGGACGTCTTGCCGCACCTGCATCGCTTCAAACTGTAACTAGCACGCATTAGCATACGCTTTCTCGCCTTATCTGCGAGAATGATGAATCGACCTTCGCAAGTCGCTGTGGCTTCCTCGCTTCTCTTGCGCTTGTCGCTTGTCTTCCTGCTCTGTCAAAATCGTAAGTGAGCCCGTATAGCTCAAGTTCGCGGGATCAGGAGAATGCCGCTCTCTGTCAGCTCCTCCCGCTCTCCTCTCTGTCCTCGACCGCTCACCATGCTCCGCACCACCGCTGCGAGAGCAGCTCGCGCTGCTTCGAGGTCCGCTATCGCTCGAAGTATCCCTGCACCACGCTCGCCAGCCCTTCCACGCCTCCCTCGCCTTACACGGTCCTTCTCGGCAACCCCACACCACTTCGCTTCGTCCTCGACAGAACAGCAGCAGGGAGGGCCGCGGCTGGCTGGACAGGGCGAGAAAGGGCTGACGGTGGCTCTTGGGAACGGCGCGGAGACTACCTTGTACGTGTGCCGTGTCTGCGCATCCGGCTTGTCCAGCCGACTCCTTCCTTGGCTGCTGACACTGGTCGAATGGGACAGTTCCTACATCTGGCTGCGCGACCACTGCCGGGAGGAGCGCTCCTTCCATCCGCAGACCAAGCAGCGCCTGGTCGACACGTTTAAGGTGCGCTCATCCTTCGCTTCCTCTCCCTTCTTCGCCTGGCTAACCTTGAATTGCGGCAGATCCCTGCCGACTATCGTCCGTCAGCCGCACGGACAACCAATGAGGGTCTCTACATCACCTGTACGTCAACGAACGCTATTCCCACCCTTCCCTTGACTGACTTTGCCGTTCGCAGGGCCTGAAACCGCTTTCGAATCCTCATACGAGTCCTTCTTCCCCTGGTCATTCCTCGCTGAGCATGCGTACAACCCGCCTCTTTTGCGGACGAAGGATCTGCCATCTCCGCTCGAGCAGTACGTCCCGGTCGCATCATTTCTGCGTTTTTGCGCGCTCACACGGCTTTCCCTGCCCGCAGAAAGGTCCTCTGGTCGAAAGAGATTGCGAAGGATGTCCCTACAGTGACGTATGAGGAGGTGATGGAGTCGGAGAAGGGCGTGTACGAATGGCTGAAGCAGATAGTGCGTTGCTCATTCCGTCGTTTCGCGCTCTTGGCTCACACTGTTCAATTTGCAGGACGTCTACGGCTTCTCCTTCGTCTCCGGCATTCCTGGCACACCAGAAGCTACCGAAGCTCTGATCCGCCGGATCGCCTTCATTCGCGAGACGCACTACGGCGGCTTCTGGGACTTTACTGCCAATCTCGAGCACGGCGACTTGGCGTACTCGGATGTACGGCTAGAAGGCCACACTGATACAACCTACTTCACCGATGTGGGTCCACCTCCTCCAGCTTGTCGCGACTCGCCCTGTTAACCCATACCTCGAACAGCCCTGCGGTCTTCAGCTCTTCCACCTCCTCTCGCCCGACCACACCCACTCGGGCGGGCACAACCTCCTCATCGACGGTTTCCGCGCCGCCTCAATCCTCCGCACCCAGCACCCCTCGTTCTACGACCTCCTCTCAACGCTACCCATTCCCTCGCACGCATCCGGCTCCGGCTCCGCTTCCCTCCCTTCGGGCGTCCACATGCGACCACTACGCCGCTTCCCCGTCTTCAACCACGACGAGAACGGCGAGCTCGTGATTGTGCGATGGAACGGTGACGATCGAGGAGTCGTAGGCGGCGAGGCTTTCGAAGGAAAGACGATGGACGAGTGGTATGAGGCGTTGCGCACGTGGGAGGGGATCTTGCGGAGCGACGAGGCCCAACTATGGACCAAGTTCGAAGTTGGCACGGCAGTCAGTGCGTCGCTCGGGAACTGCTTTTCCTCCTTCCCTTGACGCTGACAACGCTCCTGGCGCAGTCTTCGACAACCTCCGCGTTCTGCACGGCCGCTCGAGCTACACCGGTACTCGCCGTCTCTGCGGCGCCTACGTGAACGGCGACGACTACCGCTCGCGCCTGCGCGGCCTGCAGAAGCAGTTTGGCGAGGATCCCAGGCGCAAGGCGCTGCAGGAGCTGCTGAAGAGTCGATACGGCGTGTCGTTTGTGGATAAGGAGAAGGGAGGAGCATGGGAGGACTATTAGAGCATTGGCGTGTGATTAGACGACCCTCGCAGGCATTCGCATCGCATCGCATCGTTCCTCTCCGCCGCACGTTTGGAGAAGAGGTCATCGCGCATTACAAGCCTACACAGTAGGCTCGAAAGGGTGTCTGTGCGAGAGCTAGCGAAGGTGGGCAGATCAACTGGGGAGAAGCGAGATTGAGAATGCGGTAGAAGCTAGGAAGGCACGCTGGGGTATCGTTTGGGCAGGGGTTGCGACGGAAGAACGAACGAGGGAGTTGCGTAGATCTAGAGAAGTGGGAAGGAAGGCAACGAACGACGGGTTATGCGAGGTGCGGTCGGTAAAGGCGACGGCGATGAAGGCAAGTGAAGCGAATGCAAGAAAGCCATGCGAGGGGCGCAGAAAGTGCGAAGGTTTTGCGTGAATGCTGAGAGGCGAGAGTCGGAACGAGCGGAGGAGGTAGGCGGAAAGACGGAGAGACGGACTAGCCGCTGCCCATGCCCCAGGTGCCGAGGGTCTGCAAAGACGGATATGTCAGCGCCGCACTCGTAACAGAGTGCGTTCCGCGACTCACCCTTGCGCAAGTTTCGCGCAGGTGCTGGGCCTTGTCCGAGTCCCACATGCCGACCGAGAGAAACTCGCGGCCGTAGTGCATACAGGCCTCCTGGTGGAACTTGCCGTACAGGCGCGACGAGATGGAGGTCTGCGGACGAGGGGCGTAAGCAACGAGCGATTGAATAGGGATGAAGCGAGCGAACGCACCTTGAGCTTCTCGGCGGGGTCCTCCTTCTCGCCCTCGGGCTTGCGCTCGACGACCTCGATCGTGTACGCCCACTCGTCGGGCAAGACCCACATCTCTGCGCCAGCCAAGTACATCTGGTAGGTGCACGCAGCGCGGAGGTCGTCAAAGCGCTCGGTACACCACGGCTGGCCCTTCTTGCTGACGGCGACGAGGGGAGAGTAGTGCAGGTCGTAGTCGACGACGCGGTAGGGTTCGCGGCCACCGCCGACGCTGCCGTCGATGCCGAGACCGAGTCCGCCGCCTGAAGAGGGCTTCTCCTGCAGCCGAGGGTCGGTCGACGACTTGCGCCACAGGTACCAGTTCGACGGGCCGTGATTGAGGTCCCAGCGTTTGTCGAAGAGCGCGAGGCGGGCGGTCGTGGGCGACGCGACCGACGGAACGCGCGTGTTGACGAGCTGGACGAGCGACTGCTTGCGGGTCGGCCAGTCCTCGGGCGCAAGCGGGAGCGTCTCGAACAACGTGTGGATGTACTCGTTCGCGAGCGGGTCGAGCTCGTCTGCGGTAACGCCGGTAAAGTCGTCGACTGCGGCCTCGCCTTCGCTGCCGATCCCGAGCTGAGCGCGCAGCTGCGCAAAGTCAGGAAGCTGGTTGGCCTGGCCTGTCGGGTCGCGGATGAAGCCGAAAGTTGGGACGACGATGGCGTCTCCGCGCTCGAGGAGGATTTCGCGCGCCCTAGGCGTCGTTAACTGTGCTCGCAAACCACCGCTCGGGGTGATGCGCGCGTCGCCGACGAGGAAGACGATGTCGGTCTGAGCGAAGAAGCGAGCGAGGTTGAGCTGGTAGTTGCGCGCGGTGGGGTTCTTGATCATCCGCTCGCGGGTCTTGGCGAGCGAGCGCTCCGAGAGGGTCTGAGGCGCGCCAACGATGTGGAAGTCGACGAGCTCCTTGGTGAGAGGGTCCTCGTCACGCAGCTTGGCGATGACCGAGAGGAGACGGCTGCGCGCGTCCGAGTCGAGGCGCGAGTGTGTCGCCTCAAAGATGAGCGATACCGGACCTTGCCACGAGCGAAGGAAGGCGGGCAGCGTCTGGAGCCAGGCCTCGTTCGTGTACATGCACGCCGTGACACCCGACGGATCAGGCTTCGAGGCGGCGTGGAAGGCGAAGCTGCGATACGCGACGTTAGCTCGAACTCTGCCAGCCTTGGGCGCGAGCGCGACTCACGGGACGATCTCGTCGTGCAGGTCCCAGTGGACCTTCTCGTGCATCTTGGAGAAGCGGTAGGTGTGGCTGAACGGCGAGAGCGGGTTCTCGGCCGGATCTTGCATTCGAAGCGCCGAGTCGGCGGCTGCTCGAGCGGGGAGGTCAGCACAACTCGACTCGCTGAGGGAGAGTACATGCGACGCACTGTCTGGATGCCCGATCCTGCGCACGACGCCCCAGTCCTCGACCGGTTCTGCGCTTTCCTCGGCGGGTACGATCACGCCCCCCTCGTTGCCCGACTTGACCCTCGACCAGCCCAGATCCAATCCCGCCTTTGCTCCCAGCCCATCCGCGTACTCGCGAACGAGTTGCCATCCTTCCTGGCCTGCACCCGCTCTGGCGCCCAATTTCGCGCTCAGCGAGGCGAAGCTGGATGAGGAGGGATCCGATGCGGACGAGGGCGAGACGAGCGATTGAGTGAGGGAGAGCGAGAGGTAGATGACTGAGAAGACGAGGTAGGCGAAGAGGACGAGTCGGATGAGGAGAGGCGAGCGTTGCTGCGCCGCAGTCGGGGCTTTCGCCGTCGAGCCATTCATAGGCGGCGAATGCGGATGTCGAGGGGGTGCTGCGCCGCTCAAGGGCCGCAAAAAGACAGACAAGACTGCACCGGGCAGTCCGAGCGTCTTGGCGACGAAGCCCTCATCCTCGAGCGTCCTCCGCTTCCCTCCTTCCCGCACATCCTCGTCGCTGCTGTATCCCTTCTCCGAAGCCGCGCTGCCCCAGTCATAAGGTCTCCACGTTGCGCTCCGCGGACCCGTCCCAACCTGCGGCGAGAACGCGCCGACGTCGCTCTTGGGCGTGTTGAGGACCGAGGACGTGACGGGCGCGCAAGCGGACGTGAGAGACTGTTGGCGCGAATGGATGTCCGAGCCGCTCGATCGCGTGCGCTGCATCTCGTGAGAGTGAGAGTGCGAGCTGCCCATGGCGGTGTTGTAGGACGGCGGACGCGACATGGGTATCGAGGTGGGCTGCGAAGTCGAGGCGACGGGGTTGCCGATAGTGTACGACTGATGGGCGGGCGAAGGAACGGGGGAAGAGACGGGAGAGGCAGTCAAGGCGGGCGAGCCGGTGTAGATGGTCAAGGGGGACGAGGTCGTGCCGGTTGGCGAGGTGACAGTCGCCATGGGGATCCGTCGCCCAGATGGAGTCCGCCGCAGTGTAGCCGACTCGCCGCCGCCTGCGCCGCTGCCGGACGCGCCCGCCCCGCTCGCCGCAGCACTCAAGAAGAAGTCTTCCGACTCGGTCGCCTGGGCTTCGTTCGCGGCGGCAAAGCTGTTAGCCCTCGAGCGGATAGCCGACGCGCTCGTGTCGATGCTCGTTCGTGCGCTGGCGGTCCCGTTCGCGTCGTCGAGCATGAGGCCGAGGCCGACGTCTGGCTGCGGGATGGTCGGGGACGAGGTGGAAGTCGAGGGGGAGAGCTGCGACGAGCTCGATACGCCGATGGGCAGTTGTCGCATGGTCAGTGAGAGCTTGCGAGACCGCAGACCGCGCGACGAGTCGGAGGGAGGGCCGGCCTGAATTGTCGCGGGGTGTGAGCGCTAGAAGGACAGGAGGTGATGAAAAGCGAGAGTCGACGCACGGCTGGAGGAGTGGCCATGCTCGAGCTGTGTGGGCTGCTCTGAAGCCTCCCGAGGTGGTGCACGCTGCGCAGGAGGGCGACTGCGCGCACAGGACCGATGCCGACGAGCGATGCGACGCGGGTCAGCAGAGCGTCCCTCACGGCGTCGCGGGGGAGTCCGAGTGATCTGGACGCACCTGCTACTCTATCCAACCCGTCTGCGCCTGTCTGCTGGTCTTCTGTGCGCTGTCGTCGAGGTGCGGAGGGGTGTGCGCCTGGCCTGATCGCGTGAAGCGGGGGTGAGGAGTTGCTGCGACGGCCGCGAGCGATGGTGGGTGTTTGAGTCGCTGTGTCCTGTCGTAGCAATCCCAGCAGTGGCACAACGAGTCCCAGCGAGCAGTCCAGCGGGTGAAGAAGAGCAAAGTCCCCTTGCCAAGGAAGACAGCGCGCGCGCTCAGGTCGCGCACAACACAACGGCTCCTCCCAAGTTTGGCTTGCTTTTGTGCTCTCTGCGGCGAGGGCGAGCCACGGCTTTAGTCATTGCACGGCGCACTCGAGCGAACGAGCGAGGGGGAGAGGCGGGAGGGCAGTCGTAGCGAGACGAGGGCAAGACGCGAGGAGGAGGTCCTCTCGCTGGCGATGCGCTCTCTGGCGCAAGGTGATATACTCAACAGATCCGCCTACTTCGTGCAAGCAAAAAGAAAACGCCAGAGCGGCGCGGGGCGAGGCAAAAGAGAAACTCTTCGACCGGGAATTGAACCCGGGTCTCAGCCGTGACAAGGCTGGATACTAACCACTATACTATCGAAGAAGGCTTAACCAACTGAGCTAGTCGGCTGCTGTTGTCAGCCGTCGCAAGTTTTACATTGATGTAGTGCCAGAGCTGAAGCGACGTGCGAGCTGCCTCTGTTTCCTCTTCGGCAACGCCTCCGACGCTCAAGAGGAGGCTTGTCCGACCTCCAGCCTGCCACAGACTGCAATGTCACACCATTTCTCGCCCCTCTTCCTCTGTGTCTTCCTCTCACCCACTCCCTCCTCCAGCTCCGTTGCTCTTCCTGCAGAGCATCTCGTCCATTCCTTGCAATCTGTTCCCATGCCAGCCAAGGATGTCATTCAAAGGCGTCCGTGTTGACTGTCCTGTTGATCATAAGAAAGGTGGAAAGGCGGAGGAGCAGGAGGCAAGGGGACAAGCTGGGTCGGCGGCAAGGCCCGGGTCTGCGGCGCTCAGGGCTGCAAGCCATCAGCTATAGGCATATCAGTCGTCCACGAGGCATGGCAGCTGGCGGAGAAGAGCGTTAGGCAGGCAAATGCAAGAAGGAAAGATGGAGCGCAAGAAAAGACTAAGTGAACTCTTCCTCCGACAGCACGTCCTTCCTCCAGCATCCGGCAAGCATCGTCAGGCAGTAGTCTGCAACGCAAAGCTGGTCCTACCCCGCTTGTAGCTGTGCTGCCTGGCCGACCAGCCTCCGTCGAGTGAGGCGGAAGTCCGTTCTGAGCGTCTCCGTCTTCCCGCCAGCGTCATGCGACAGCTCGCCTGCACTCACACCGTCTGCTACGACTCTCTAGCCGAAGCTCCAAGCCCACTCAGCGCCCGTGAACAGCCTCGCCTGTAGCCCTCCCACGAAAACCAGCCCGCCAACTCCGCTTTTCACCCATCTGCTGCGCTGCTCGTGCTTAACCGTGCATCAGAAAGCCAGCCAAGATCTCTCGCGCACAGCAGATCCGTCCAAAGCGAGTAGTCGTTGCCCTTGAAACCTGTGGTGAGATGAGGCGGTAGGGCGGTGAGGAGCGCATCGTGTGGGTTGCGGGCAAGTCTGAAGCGGGCGAGAGACTGTGCAGAGCCACGAGGATGCAGGAGGGGACTTCTGGGGCGCTGTGTGAGCGGAGAGAGCTGTGACAGGTGAAAGAGGCGAGGGCGAAGGGACTACTACAAAAAAGCATTTATTCGGCAAGTCTAACGTCGCCTAATCGC